CCCCAATAAATGTGTTTGCAGAAGGCTTTTCAAATGTGGAGACCCTTTATCAGGTTGAAGAAGGTCCTTCTACTCCTTGTTGACTAAAAATTCTAACCACAATTGCTATGATTTTTATGAAATACTGTTTCTACATCCATTAGATTATTCTGATTTTTCTTCTTTAATCTTTTATATTGTGCTAACCATATTAATTCATTCTCTAATGTTAAACCTAACTTGCATTCATGAAATCCAACACGATTATGATTTCTATTATGCTTTCAATATATTACTGGATTCCATTTGCTAACATTTTGCTTAGGACTTTGATATTCATATTCAGAAGTGAGATTGACTTCTAACTTCTCTTTATCGTGATACCCATGTGGGACTTTTTCTCTTCAGAAGACTTTATGTAAGATTGTCTTCCTTGAAAGTTTGATTGAAAGCATCTGTAATGCCATCTGGGCCTTGAGCTTAGGTTTTTGGGTTTCGCTTTAAGGAAAGATTTTTGACTACTGGTTAGGTTTTCTGTTTTAACTTCTGCATTGTAGGTAGTGATTCCTTCTTGTCATCTTTGAGATTATCATTTTATGCCTTCTCTTTTGTTTTCATGATTGGTTTTATCAGAGACTTGTCAATTGTATTAGCTTTTTCAAATAACCAGTTTTGTCTTTGTTAATTCTTCTTATATTAATATATTCATTTCTTGTTTCATTTATTTCTATTTTCTCTGTATTCCTTTCTACTTTTATATTTTTGCTGTTTTTGACTTCTTGACAGAGATGTTTATTTCATTAATTTGTTTTCTATTATGTTAATTGTAAAATTCCCCTTCAAGTACTACTTTTTCTGTATCTCAGAGTTCTTATAAATAGTATTTTTCATCAGTCATTAAAGTTCAAAATATTTTCTAATATGTGATAGGCGTTCTTCTTTTGGGTTTTTTTCTTTTTTTTTTTTTTTTTTGGTCAGTCTTGCTCTGTCACCCAGACTGGAGTGTAGTGATGTCATCATGGCTCACTGAAGCCTTGGCCTCCTACGCTGAAGTGATCCCCACCCTTCAACCTCCCAAGTAGCTGGGACTACAGGCACATGCCACCTCATCCAGCTAACTTTTTTTTTTCCTTTTTTTTTTTCTTTTTTGAGACAGGGTTTCACTCCTGTTGCCCAGGCTGGTATGCTCTCCTGGGCTCAAGTAGTCCTCCTGCCCTGGCCTCCCGAGTAGCTGGGACTAAGGCCATGCCTGGCTAATTTTTATATTTTTAGTAGAGACAGGGTTTCACCATGTTGGCCAGGCTGATCTTGAACTCCTGACCTCAAGTGATCCACCCGCCTTGGCCTCCCAAAGTGCTGGGATTATAGGCATGAGCCACCATGCCCAGCCTTTTGTTTTGTTTGTTTGTTTCTTGAGACAGGGTCTCAGTCTGTCACACAGGCTAGAGTGTAGTGATGTGATCCTAGCTTACTGCAGTCTCTTAAGTCTTGGGCTCAAGCAATCCTCCCACCTCCACCTCCCAGGTAGCTAGGATTGCAGGCATGCACCACCATGCCTGGCTAATTTTTTTTATTTTTAGTAGAGGCAAGATCTCGTTATGTTGCCCAGGATGGTCTCGATCTCCTAAGCTCAAGCAGTCCTCCTGCTTCGGCCTCCCAAAGTTCTGGGATTATTGGAGTGAGCCGCTGTGCCTGGCCTTTTGTTTGTTTGTTTGTTTGTTTGTTTTTAATTTTTTGTAGAGATGGGGTCTTCACCATGTTGGCCAGGCTGATCTTGAACTCCTGACCTCAAGTGATCCACCCGCCTTGGCCTCCCAAAGTGCTGGGATTATAGGCATGAGCCACCATGCCCAGCCTTTTGTTTTGTTTGTTTGTTTCTTGAGACAGGGTCTCAGTCTGTCACACAGGCTAGAGTGTAGTGATGTGATCCTAGCTCACTGCAGTCTCTTAAGTCTTGGGCTCAAGCAATCCTCCCACCTCCACCTCCCAGGTAGCTAGGATTACAGGCATGCACCACCATGCCTGGCTAATTTTTTTTATTTTTAGTAGAGGCAAGATCTCGTTATGTTGCCCAGGATGGTCTCGATCTCCTAAGCTCAAGCAGTCCTCCTGCTTCGGCCTCCCAAAGTTCTGGGATTATTGGAGTGAGCCGCTGTGCCTGGCCTTTTGTTTGTTTGTTTGTTTGTTTGTTTTTAATTTTTTGTAGAGATGGGGTCTCTCCATGTTGCACAGGCTGGTCTCTAACTCTTGGGTTCAAGGGATCCTCCTGCCTTGGCCTCCCAAAGCGTTTGGGTTAGAGGAATGAGCTTCCACACCTGGCTGTGTTTCTTAATTTCCAAACATAAAGGGAAATGTTTACATTTCTGGTTTGCATTTTATATGGAATTCTAGGTTAATTACCTTGTGGTCAGAATACCTGCTGTCAGTGATTTCAGTCCTTTGAAATGTGTGAAAGTTAGCAATAAAATGGTCATACAGTTTTGTAATCTGCCTTTTATACTTTGCAACATTGTTGCTTTGGGATTTATTTTTAATTGCTCAGTTGGCTACAGATCCTGAATGGAAATAATTTTGCCTAGAATTCTAAATGATTGACTTTTCATTTTAGGGTTCTTGTTGTTGTTGTTGTTTGGGGGGTTTTTTGTGTGTGTGTTTTTTTGGTTTTTTGTTGAGATGGAGTCTCACTCTGTCGCCCAGGCCGGAGTGCAGTGGCATGATCTCGGCTCACTGCAATCTCCGCCTCCCGGGTTCAAGCAATTCTCTTGCCTCAGCCTCCCAAGTAGCTGGGACTACAGACACATGCCACCATGCCTGGCTAATTTCTGTATTTTTAGTAGAGACAAGGTTTCACTCTATTGGCCAAGCTGTTCTCAAACTCCTGACCTCGTGATCTACCCACCTTAGCCTCCCAAAGTTCTAGGATTACAGACGTGAGCCACCACGTCCTGCCATGACTGACTTTTTCAATTTGTCAGCATAAAATAGTGAATAAAAATTCTCCAGTGGAAAGTGTACTTGATTTTCCCTTTGACCTGAACTAGCTGCGTCATTGCTTTCAGCCCTGCATTGCTGAAATAGATCACCACGTTTATTCACTCTAACAGGTCTGTCTTGTTTGGTTATATTACTTTAGCCAAGGTCAGCCACGTTTGTATTAAGCTGGTAAGTAAAGAAAGCCCATCTATTTGCATTGAGAACACTGCATAAAATCTAGCTGATTCTTGGTATTTCTCTAGGCCCGAGGTATGAAGAAGCAAATCATTGACGACTTCATCGCCCAAAACAAATATCTATTGGCAGCCAGGCTCACCAGCCAGAAGTTGTTCCATGAACTCTGCCCTGTGAAACGGTCTCACCGACAGAGGAAGTAAGGACTTAAGGCTTTGCCTTTGCTTGTCATTACAATAGAAGGATCATGATTCATTTTACTATAGGGTGGCGAGACATCTGTCCTGTAACAATGAGAACTTATTCTTCATTTAACAAATACTGGGCCGGATGTGATGGCTTACGCCTGTAATCCCAGCACTTTGGGAGGCCGAGGAGGGCGGATCACCTGAGGTCGGGAGTTTGAGACCAGCCTGACCAACATGGAGAAACCCTGTCTCTACTAAAAATACAAAATTAGCCAGGCGTGGTGGCACATGCCTGTAATCCCAGCTACTAGGGAGGCTGAGGCAGGAAAATCACTTGAACCTGGGAGGCAGAGGTTGCGGTGAGCCAAGATCATGCCATTGCACTCCAGCCTGGGCAATAAGAGTGAAACTGTCTCAAAAAAAAAAAAAAAACACCAATTAGTGACTGTGATGATAATCATACTAATATGATGTATTAGTCCAGGGCACCTTAGCACCAAATTGTCAGATGTGCCAGCCTGTCCTAGTGGTCAGAGAAGATTTCCCTAAGATATAACATTTCAGCTGAGACCTGAAGGATGAGCACAGTTTAGCCAGGCGTCTGGGAGAGACTGGGTCACTTTACAGAAGCACAGAATATGGAAGAGTGACTATCCCTACTAACGCATTGCACACAGGGTGAGTCTGTGGAGATCTTGGGAAGGAGCAAGGATAACGATTAAACAGTAGGAAAGTATAGAGTATTGAGGAAATGGATTAGTGGGAATCAGGAAGGCAAAGTTACATATATTCAATAAAGTATGAATAGTTACTATAGAAAGTATCTAAAAACTCTAGAAATTCAGGGAATATATTCATTATACCTTCTCAGGTGAATGAATCAGTGGCTTTAAATTTAGGGCTGTTTCATCTGTAAAAGGTATCTGGATATTGAAGGAAAACATATCAATCACGTTACTTGAAAATATAAAACATAAATAATTTCCCTGTGTTGGGCTTTTCAGAGTCCTTTATAGTCTTAAGAGCAAAGAAAAAATGACTTAAATATAAAAAAAGAATATCCTGGACTGTAAGGATTGTTGTTTACACAGCCTTCAAAAAATATCCCAAATCCACACGCTTCTCACTTTTTCTGACTACTGCTACCCTGGAACAAGCCACCATCGTCTCCCAGCAGGACCCCTCTGGCAGCCTTCTAACTAGTCTCTTTGTTCCATTTGCCAGGCAGGTGTCCACACATCAGCCAAGGATGTTTGAAAATGCAAATCAGATCCAGTCACTCTCCATCCTGGGGTCTTTGCACTTGTAGTTCTCTGTACCTGGGATGCTCTGACCCCATTTCCTCTCATAACAATGTCACCTTTTCAGTTGGCATTTCCCTGACCAACCTGTCTGATGGAAAGTGACTTCCACCCACTCTGGCCTCTCTCTGTCCCCTTTTCTTCATCTTTTTTTTTTTTTTTTAAATATATAGTACTTGTTGATACCTGTCATGATATATCTGTTTTTATTTGTTCTCTATCTTCCCCACTGGAATATAAGCTCCATGAGGGCAAGAACATTGTCTATATTACCTGACATATACTAAGTGCTCAGTAAATATTTTTGGGAGAATGAATAGCTAAACTTTGCATTGGAACCTTGCAAAGGAAGCCCTGCAGAATGAGGCTTAGTGGCTTCTGGCCTGAGAGAGATTTGACCAGCCCTCCCTATAGTGGAAGAACTAGGACAGATAGTTTCTAAAAGGCCCTGTTGGCCGGGAACAGTGGCTCACACCTGTAATCCCAGCACTCCGGGGGCCCGAGGCAGGCAGATCACTTGAGGTCAGGAGTTCGAAACCAGCCTGGCCAACGTGGTGAAAACCCGTCTCTACTAAAAATACAAAAACTAGTTGGGTGAAGTGGTGCATGCCTATAATCCCAGCTACTTGGGAGGCTGAGGCAGGAGAATGGTTTGAACTCAGGAGGCAGAGTTACAGTGAGCCGAGATCACACCACTACACTCTCCAGCCTGGGCGACAGAGCAAGACTGCATCTCAAACAATAAAATAAAAGGCCCTGCTGCATCAGAAATTCAGTGACCAACCCCTTAAAAGAAATTCCTGCCAGGCATGATGTCTCATGCCTATAATTCCAACACTTTGGGAGCCTGAGGTAGGAGGATTGCTTGAGGCCAAGAGTTCAAGACCAGCCTGGGCAATATAAATAAAACTGTATATAATTTCATATATTATAGATAGAATTTTTAAATTCGCAAATGTGGTAAAGAAGTTTGGTTTGGGAAAAACATCACAGATTGGGAAAAGAAACCATTTGTTAATGACTTGGAAATCTTCCCTTGGTAGAAATGTCAGCTTTGATTGGGCACAGTGTATTCACTTCCATAAGATGAGCGCCTCATCTTCTTCACCTTCACTTGCCTTTATAGGTCCTGGCCCTGCCATCAGGGATTGGTTATAAAGCTTTGTCTTTTTGTTGTGCAGGTACTGTGTGGTTTTACTGACTGCTGAGACTGCCAAGTTGAGCAAACCCTTTGAGGCTTTCCTGTCCTTTGCCCTGGCAAACACACAAGACACAGTGAGATTTGTGCATGTCTACAGCAATCGGCAGCAGGAGTTTGCCGACACCTTACTACCAGACAGTGAGGCGTTTCAAGGGAAATCAGCGGTGAGCCACAGAGTCTGTCCTCATCCCAGGCTCTTCACAAGCATGTGGCACCTGATTCTGTTTCCTTCTTCCTTGAGAGTGTTGAATACAGATTCTAGGAAATCTGAAACTGAAGCCCGTTTTCAAAGCCTACTCTTTTTTTTTTTTTTTCCTTTTTTTGAGATGGAATCTTGCTCTGTCTCCCAGGCTGGAGTGCAGTGGC